TGACAATGAGAGACTAGACTAGTGGAAGCACATGCACAAAGGGGAGGAGATCGACTAAGTAAAGATCCGGAACATCACATCAAACATGAACTTGATAATGAGAGACTAGACTAATGGAAGGCACATGCACAAGGAGAAGAGATCAACTAAGTAAAGATCCGGAACATCACATCCAACTTGAACTTAACAACTAAGAAAACAAGAAGACTTCTGTTGGTCAATGGCTTGCTGTTTCTTAAGAAGGAAGGGAATAAACGATTGCGTGTTCCAAATAGCGAGTCTTTGCGTAGTTTGTTTTTAGGTGAGTGCCATGATGCCACCGGCCATTTTGGGTATAAGAAGACCGCAGCCAATCTGCTGCAGCGGTTCTGGTGGCCCACGATGATGCGAGACGCCCAGCTGTACGTGGAGACTTGTCAAGTTTGTCAAAGGGACAAGCCACGTACTTAGGCTCCTCTTGGGCTTTTGAAGCCCCTTCCGATTCCGGAACGGCCATACTCTAATCACTAGCAAGAGCGGGATGCGTCACATCTTCGTCATCGTGGATAGATTTAGTAAGTATGCGAGGTTAGTAGCCATGCCGGAAACAGCAAAGACGGAGTATGTGATTCGATTGTTCAAAGAGAACTGGGTTAGGGACTTTGGTCTACCGAAGTCTATTGTCAGCGACAGGGATGTTTGTTTTACCAGCGAGTTGTGGAAGGCCGCTGCTGCATAGCAGGGCACTCAGTTGCAGATGACTTTTGGGAATCACCCAGAGGCCAACGGCCAGGCCGAGCAACTGAACCGCGCAGTACAACACCTGTTGAGGCATTACATCAAGCCCAACCAGGTGGACTGGGATGAGAAGCTTGCACTCATCGCCAGTCTGTATAACAATGCGGTACACAGTGCCACCGGGGTGAGCCCGAACAGTTTGCTACTGACTTTCAAGCCTAGACTACCCCTGGATTTTCTCCTTCCTGAGAATCAGTCGACTGCTGCACCAGGTACATTAGAGTTTGCTTACCGCTATGAACAGAAGATGCAGCAGGCTGTAGAACAGATGCAGAAGGCTCAGGCTGCAATGATAGAGTCTGAGAATAGACACTGCCGACCTTCTACATTCCAAGTTGGGGATAGGGTCTGGGTTAAATCTTCAGAACTGGGATAGGAGCACGGGATCTCCCGCAAACTCATGCCCCAGTACTTTGGACCCTGGGAAGTCTTGGACATCGTTGGGACAGATCCGGATGGGCGATCTTATGTTATCCGGATCCCTGGTCATCTCCGTACTTACCCAGTCTTTCACGCATCCAAGCTGGCACCTTTCAAAGAGACTGATCAGTTTCCATCTCGTCGCTCAATGCTGCCCCCAACCATGGACGGAGAGGTGGACATCGATGACATCGTGGATCACAGAGAGCTGCCGGTATCAAGACCAGCAGGCAGGGGACGTCCTCTGAAACCGAAGCTGCAGTACCGCATTCGGTTCCGGCATCACACTGATCCGAAGGAGGACCGCTGGTTCACCAGGGAAGAACTCATGCAGACCGCTCCTCAAGTTGTAGCCCAATACGAGAGATCTCTGCCGAAGGGAAAGCGCCCCATGCTTGAAGACTGAGCTTCTCAGAGGACTGTTGAAGCTAAGGAGGAGGGAATGCGAGGCCACTGCCTCTATGAGCCCCACAAGGCCCCATTTTGCAGCCCGTCGGCCGCCCGAAGTGAAGGCAGGCTCGACGAGGCCCTCAGGGCCCTTTTCTGGCCACCACGCAACTCAGGGAAATTCAGGCAGTTGCGGAGCGCCAGTTGGTTGAGTGAACCCAGGCCCTGGGCCGCCTGTGTGAATGAATGTGAAGCAGGCCCTGGGCTGGATACGGGTACTGGGCCAAACACAGGCCAAAGGCAGTTGGGCACATGCAACCACCTCAGGCCGTCTGTGTGAATGTATGTGAAGCAGGCCCTGGGCTGGATACGGGTACTGGGCCAAACACAGGCCAAAGGCAGTTGGGCACATGCAACCACCTCAGGCCCAAGGCCTGTTCTCGTCGTGCTGCCTCAGGCTACCGGGGCCTACATGAAGCTTCCTGGGACTGGACGCAGGCAGGCCACTTCGATATAGCAAAGGGCCTGCCTCCTCGTTCGGCATTCGGGTGCTGGCTGCATGCTGCGCAAGCGCTGCTGTGCTATTTGCTGGCTGGCGCCTACGCTCTCACGGGCGAGCAGGGAAGGAGCACGCAGCCATAGCCGAGCTGCGCTGCTGTAAGCTGGGTGAAGCGCAGGGTGGTCCTTGGGTGCTACAGTCTTCCCCCGAATACAATGTACGGTCATTATAGCTGAATTTGGTGTATCTTTCAGTCTAAATTCAGTTATAATGACCGTACGTTGTATTCAGGGGAAGACTGTAGTGGCATCTGTGCGTTGGGGAACGAGGTTGTGAGTGTGGCGACAGACATACCTGGTGCTGGAACCATGCGACATTGGTCGCCATATGCTCGTACTTCGGGAAAGCTGTTGACGTCATCTTTCGGCATCGTAGTATAGGCTAGATAGGATCTGCCACATGTAGTCTGGGTGCCGAGCACCAGATAGGATATCAACTCTGGTTCTTCGTTGATGATGATGGGACTTATTCAGCATTGTCAATTATGAACTCTTGGTGTGTTATTATTTGGTGAATCTCGTGATGCAATTCTGCTGTTGGTTCGAGGTCAAGACTATCTGGACTCGTATATATGATGCTGTTTGATTGCTGAAGTTCGCTATTGCTCATCTTCCTTGCATTTGCTTATGTACATCTTCTTCTTCTTCTTCCAGTCTGATTTCTTCATCTTCCTTTGCCTATTTCTCTTTCCAAGTTCGCCATTTCAGTTGCAATTGAACAGTGTTGTGTTTCTTTGAGTTATTGTACTTCAAGTTAGCCAGGATTATAGCCCTAATTCCAAGAGGTTTTGAGTCATTATTACCTCAGATTGGGGTTGGAGTGAAGGATTAGGGTTGGCGAAATGAGGGGATCAGTGAGACGGAGCAATGAGAGTGAGTTGAGAACTGTGGAAGTCACTCTGGCATGAGGACCTCCAGAAGGACAATTTTGATCAATAATGCTTCATCTTCAGTTGGCAAGCAGAAGTTGGAGGAAAATTACTACAACATTCGGACTACTCAAGTTGGTTTTTGTTTTGATTGCAATATCAAGTCAATCTGTTCCAAAAATTTAGGATTCAATAATTTCATCTCAGAGATCCAGCGTTGTTGAAATTTAGCATCTTTGTAAAGCAACATTGTCTTTCTTCAGGACATCCGTTAAAATTGGAACGATACAGAGAAGATTAGCATGGCCCCTGCACAAGAATAAAAAAAAAAAAAAAAAAAAAAAACATAGTCTTTCTTAGCGTACTTTCAACAGGAATATATGGCAAGTCTAGGCAAGAGCATCCGAAGAAACTTCCTTGAGTTCTTCTGTTCATAAGACCCTTTTGCGCTAATAAAATAATAGTTCATACTTGGTTCCTACTAGACTTCTATGACTTTCATGAGAAGCGGAGGTGACATTCGTAGACCGACTTGGTTCTAGTACACCATAGGGTTAGGAAAGTCCTATTTAGGGGAAAAAAGGATAATGCGGCGGGATGAGTGAGGGGTGGAGTCGTACCGACCTCAAGGGTGACTCATCTGGCTCAGGTAGGAGCGCCTGATACCAATGGATGCCCCTGGTCGTATGGTTGCATGGATGACATGAAAGTTGATGTTTGTGTCTGTACATGAGCATAGAAAAGTCAGAAACACAGAGAAAAACTGCAGAATCTCTGGCAGTCACAGAGTGAAATTTGCAGTGGTCATGCCAATTGTCAGACACTTGAATTGATATTTGTTTGGGTACTGGTAGCTTTGTCTTTATTTGCTGTCATCTTATGTCCGAAGTGCAATCATAGGAAACTGACTGATGAAGATGGCGTGAATGTGTCTTGGGACTGCACGGTCTTACATGTATGTTCGTTGATTGTGAAGGTTGAGCTTCTGGTCCTTTGCGAGGTGGTTCAGCGGCTGCGTGACTTATTTGCACTCTTCGACCGTCCACTGGTAGGCAATAACTCATAGTCACATCTCTCGAATCATCTGCTGTATGGTCGATTGTACCACTCTTGTGTTCATCAAGGAGGATTCTTTTCAGCAAGTCAGTTCCCACCAACCGGCTTGATCCTACACAGACATATCTTGGTTTCCATGAGATTATCCATTGCATATTCAATCAATTCAATTCAAATAAACAGGTTAGGACTTTCCCGCATACAGTGGGCTCGACCGAACCAACCGGATTGGAATGGGAACCGTGGAAAGTTCCTCTCAGCCTACCAAATTTAAAATTAAAAAAAAGAGTGAAAAGACTGCTCTTGGCTTTTTGCATGATCCACTGGCATTGTGGCCCCTATTGAGTCTTTGCCTGGCCGTCATGCCATGAGCTATGCTTTATGTGTGGGGGGTTGTCATGCAATAAACAAAAAAGAAGAAGAAAAGACATGACTGTGCCAGACCTGACTCGTCTCGTGGTTGAACCCCAACAGTCCGCTCAGGATGCATTTGATTGATTGATATTGATGTACCACATCACCAAAGATGTCGGGCTGAGAGGGGAGGATGGGGGGACAGTGAGCGGATCGGGGAGAGAGGAGAGGAGCATTGGGAGGAAGACGACCAAAGAGTATAAAGAAACAAGAAGAACGAAGACAAGCAATGTAACATAAGAAAGAAGAGAGGAGAGAATAACAACAAAGGAGTGAGGAAAAAAGAACGTGGAAAAGGAATATGAAGAAGACGAAGGAAGTATAGAGGCAGCGGAACAAAAAGGAATAAAAAGAAGAAAGACGCACTAGAGGGAAAAGGAAGAATGGAGAATCATGGACACTACTGGGAAGAGAGAAGGGGAATAGGGTGTGGGTAGGAGAAGGTACATAGCAAACAAAACATTTGTGGGAGGACCTGAAACAAAGGTGGAAAACAGAAGGGGATCTCAGATCAATGCTAAGGGGACACCACAATCTGTAGAGAAATCTGTAAGAACTAATCGTAAGCATACCGATAGCGCGTCCTCCGGGACATCCGTTAAAATTGGAACGGTACAGAGAAGATTAGCATGGCCCCTGCACAAGGATGACACGCATAAATCGAGAAATGGTCCAAATTTTTTTGAGGCAATAACAGGTCTGTGATGCCCTTAGATGTTCTGGGCCGCACGCACACACACGCACACACACACACAAAAAAAAAAAAAAGCAAGCGTACCGATAGTGTGGAGGTCACTGTTAAAAAAGTCCATATCCTAGGAGAAACGAGACTGGGCGACACTCAAGGATCAAGTAACCCCATCAGTGGCAATCAAATATATTCAGCAATCAAGGATAGACCACAATGCAGCAAGCATCGAGGTACATGAATTAGAAAGCCCAGGCAAATCCGTAGCAGGAGTGAGAAAGGAAGCACTGATAAGGCTGGATTTCAACACACCAGACCTTAGGGGAAAGTCAGAGAATTCAGGTATGGTCAAGAGCAGGTAATGCGCAGGAGACTAGTGGACGAGGGACCATTATGGCTGTTTGGACCAGATGAGGACATAAAGGAATTGTAAGTAGACCCGGCAGAATGGGGATGGTATGAGGACAGAAGTCAGGCCAAGGCCAAATAATGGATGGTGTTGCATGAGTTCACTGTGAAAAAGGGCTATAAGACTACGTGCAAAGCCAAGATCCCTTAGTCTAAAGCCAAGATCCCTCTGCAGACAATAGACCTTCCTGGCTACAAGCACTCTCATGGACTTACTATGCATCTATTAGACCACAAAGAGTAATAGAGTGGCTAATAATAATGTACATGGCGGTTCCAGTCAATGTATGGTTGGATAAAAGACGCAGAGAGAAGGACAGAACGGAGGAATCCTGACAGTGCGTAATGTGCCTAGAGAAACAGGTAGAAACTTTAAATCACTGCCTCCTGGACTGCCAACATGCGCAGAACCTTTGGGTCCGATGCAGAAATGTATGGAATAGCTTATCCTCTGTCGAGTATCCAAGTAACATATTCTACCTGCTAACGGCAGTAGATGGAGAGCGCCTGATCTTGCAGTAAGATGAAGAGCTTTCAGAATTCCGTAGGAAAACCACCTTGTGCCACTTGTGGGTGATTTGGAGAGCCAGGTGCAGTGGAACAGTGGGTAAAACGAGAATTCCAGAGCACGAGTCATGGGCAGAAGCAAAGGAGCTTATGGAAACAGAGATTAGAGTAGACTGGAAACGTACGCTATCAGGGATAGACACAGAACTGGACAGCAGAAAAAGGGCCTAGCTTTGACAGTGCTTCGAGGAAACTTGGTTGAAAGGGGGTGTGTGATCACGCAACTATCTACGGTTCCACAGAGAGAACAGAGATGCTACAAGATAACAAACAGTGCATGGATACAGAGTAAGGAGAAGGGGGATGAAATGGACACAGGTCAGGTAACTCACAAATCCCAAGAGAACAGGGGATTTTTATTTTTATTTTTTTTCCAGAAAACCTCCGCGTTTTTACTAGGGGGGTTGACAAAAGCAGCCCCTCCTAGTAGTCGGGTCAGGTGCTCTGATCTATTAGTGGGGAGCAGCACTGACTGGAAAGCGAGTGCTGGAAACCGGGTCTAGCATCCCAAGATATATCACGTCAACTTGCGCTTAAACAATAGAGAAAACCATCGGAGGCATTGCCCGACTATGGGTGGGAGGACCACATGGATTGGAGCCTGAGACCCGGGGGGGGGCCCAGGGCCCAGGCCCAATCCATGTGACCCCCCGCCCTTAGCATCCTTACAGAATGCACCGAATACAAGGATGTGTGGAACCTCCACACTCCTTCAATTGGCTACAGATCAGACCGACGCATCAGACATCTCCTGATTGGCTGATTCGTCCAAAGGCCACCAGGCAGGAGGGGGGGAGAGCAGCCTCCAAAGAGGTCCCCTCACCCCCCCACTTCAAGTGCAGTCCTGCAGGGGTTCCACAATAGACATTGGATATCGAGGGAAGGGATCCAGGAAGTCCAATGGGGGTCTCAGAGGAACACTGGGGTCAACCATTGTCCAGTCGTGCAAGCGAAGCTGGTAACTCTAGCACACCCATGCCCTGGCCTGTCTTCTTCCCTCCCTTCTTGTTGTACCATATCCGCTGACCAGGTTACCTCTGCCACCCAGCTCCCCCTCTTTCCTCCCAACCATAAGTCCGATCGTCTCCAATTTCCCCGTGAGCCCACGTAGCTCAGGTGGTAGAGCATTCCCTTGGTAAGGGAAAGGCCTCCGGTTCAAGTCCGGTCGTAGGCTCCGTCTTAAATTAAAAAAGATATATAGGATGAAATTCGGATATAAACCTATTATAATTACTGGAATGAATAAAGAAATTATGATGAAAACTTCACGAGGCCCACTATAGATATTTTAATCTATTATTCAAAATCACTTTGAAAAGAAAGATAGATTCAGAATTAGATAGATACTAGGTCATTTTTATCAAGTCTATTTCATGTATAGTATCATATTTTCTTAAATGACTGACTAAAACCAAACAAATAAAAAATTTGACTTTCAATTTCGGACCTCAACACCCAGCTGCTCATGGTGTTTTAAGATTAGTTTTGGAAATGAATGGAGAAGTGGTGGAACGTGCAGAACCACATATTTGTTTACTTCATAGAGGTACGGAAAAAATAATTGAATATAAAACCTATCTACAAGCTTTTTCACAAAAACGAGAAATGATGCTGTCTATGTCCTTCCTCGTATGTGCGAGGTCTGTTTTTTCCTTGGCCACCTGCCACTGAATCCTGACCTTGGCTTCAAAATGTTGCTTGATTGTTCCGTTACTTCCCCGGTGCTAGGAAAATGAGCGATAGCGAACTTCAGAAATCAAACAGCATCATACACATGAGACCAGATAGTCGTGACCTTGAACCAATAGCAGAATTGCATCACGAGTTTCACCAAATAAGAGCACAGCANTCAAACAGCATCATACACATGAGACCAGATAGTCGTGACCTTGAACCAATAGCAGAATTGCATCACGAGTTTCACCAAATAAGAGCACAGCAAAAGCCCATAATTGACAATGCTGGAATAGTCTCATCATCATCAACGAAGAACCAATGTCAATATCCTATCTCGCACTCGGCGCCCAGACTATAGATGGCAGATCCTATCTAGCCTATCTACAATGCTGCTGATGACGTCAACAGCTCCCCGAAGTACGAGCAGATCTCGGCCAATGCTGTTTGCCTCAAGCACCAGGTATGTCCCTCGTATCACTCACAACCTCGATCCTCAACTCATAGATGCCACTTGCACCCAAGAACCACCGTGTGCCCCCATCCAGCATACAGCAGCGCAGCTCGGCTATGGCTGCCTGCTCCTTCCAGCTCACCCGTGAGCGCGTGAGCGCTGGCCAGCCTTAGCGCAGCAGCGCTTGCGCAGCATGCAGCCAGTGTCCGAATCCCAAATGTGGAGGCAAGCCCTTTCCTAAATGGAAGTGGCCTGCCTGCTGTTGCGGCCAGGCTGCGCTGGGCCCTCGCCCGGAAGCTTCCGGTAGGCCTCGAGTCGCTGAGCCCCAGTCCATACAGAACAGGCCCAGGTACTGAGTTAGTTGCCCGTACCCAACTGCTCACAGCCTGTGTTCGGTGTGTATACTCGTCTGGCCCAGGGTGTACTTAAGATACATTTGCAAAATGGATGCCTGGGCCTGGGCGCTTGCAACCAACTGACGCCGCGCAACTGCCTGATTTTCCCCATTTGCGAGATGGCCTGACAAAGGGGCCCCAAGGTCCTAGCTGAGCCTGCCTTCACTTAGGGCGGCCGACAACACTGTAAACAGGGCCAAAGGGGGCTCATCGGGCCTTAGGCCTTGCATTCCCTCCTCTGAGAAGTTCAGTCTTCAATAATCTGGCGCTTTCCCTTCTGCAGAGACTTCTCATATTGGGCGACTGCCTGAGGAGCGGTCTGCATGAGTTCCTCCCTCGTAAACCATCGGTCCTCTTTTGGATCCGTGTGATGTCTGAACCGGACGCGGTACTGCAGCTTCGGTTTCGGAGGACGTCCCCTGCCTGTTGGTCTTGAAACTGGCATTTATCTGTGATCAACGATGTCGTCGATGTCGACCTCTCCATTCATGGTTGGGGGCAGCATTGAGCGACGAGAGGGGAACTGATCTGTTTTGCTGAAAGGTGCAAGTTTGGAAGAGGGTAAGTACGTAAGTGACCAGGGATGTGAATAACATATGACGGCCCATCTGGTTCATCCCCAACAACATCTAGGACCTCCCATGGTCCAAAGTACTGTGGCATGAGCTTGCGGGAGATCCCGTGCTCCTGTCCCAGTTCTGAGGACTTGACCCAGACTCTCTCCCCTRCCTGAAATGTAGATGGGCGGTGGTGTTTGTTCTCTTACTCTATCATCGCCGCCTGTGCCTTGTGCATATGTTCAACAGCCTGCTGCATCAGACACTATCGATAAGCGAACTCTAAAGTTCCTGGTCCAGCAGATGTCTGGTTCTCAGGTAGTAGGAAATCCAAGGGTAGTCTAGGCTTGAATGTCAGTAGCAGGCTGTTCGGGCTCACTCCCGTTGCGATGTGCACAACGTTACTGTACAGGCTGGCGATGAGAGCAAGTTTGTCATCCCAGTCTACCTGATTAGGCTTGATGTAATGCCTCAGCAGGTGTTGTACAGCGTGGTTCAACTGCTCTGCTCTCCCATTCGCCTCTAGATGGCTCCCTAATGTCATCTGCAGCTGTGTTCCCTGTTCTGCAACTGCGGCCTTCCACAGTTCACTAGTAAATTGCACATCACGGTCACTGGCTATAAACTTTGGCAGTCCAAAATCTCTGACCCAGTTCCCTTTGAACAGTTTTATCACATACTCCGTTTTAGCTGTTGTCGGCATTGCGACTAACCTAGTGTACTTGCTAAATCTACCCACAATGACATAGACGTAGCGCATTCCACTCTTGCTGGTGACCATCGTAGCCATGAAGTCCATGGACAAACTCTCACCAGGCCTTTTCGAAATCGGATGGGGCTTTAGAAGCCGAAGAGGAGCCTGTGTACGTGGCTTGTCCCTCTGACAGACCTGACAAGTCTCCATATACAGCTTCACGTCTTTCATCATCGTGGGCCACCAGAACCTCTGCAGCAGATTGGCTGCTGTCTTTTTATAACCAAAATGTCCGGTGGCATCATAACACTCTCCTAGAAACAAACTACACAAAGACTCTCTATCTGGCACATACAAATGTTTATTCCCTGCCTTCTCAAGGAACAAGTCACCTTGTCCTCCGCCTCGAGTCTGCGTATGATCTCGTACATAAACTGGTCCTCGCGATAGGCTTCCACCAAAGAGCGAGTGACATCGTCCGCAAACCCGAACTCAGTGATCAGTGCACCAGAGAAATCAGGCCTACACGATAAGTCATCATCAACTTTGTTTTACTCCCCTTTCAGATACTGCGGTTCAAAGTCATATTGTTCAATGACTTTGATCCAGCGCTTCAAGGCATCAGAGAGCACTGGCTGGGTTCTCATCCACTTCAGGGTGTGTTGATCAGTCCTGGCGATGAAGAACCTCCCAAGGAGGTAATGCCTCCAATGGGTCAGTGCCTTGTAAATCGCGTAGAGCTCCTTCTCATAGATGGACTTAGCCAACTTCTGAGAGGGCATCTTTTTGGACATGTACTCAACTGGCCTCAACTTTGGCCCCTCCTGCTGCGCGAGCACGGCGCCTATGCCATATTGGTTTTCATCTATGGTTACTATAAACGGTTTGTCAGGATCGGGAAGTTTCAAGACCTCATGGTGCATCAGCGCATTCTTCAGGTGTCTGAAAGCAGCCTCGCACTGGTCTGTCCACTCGCATGGGGTGTCAAGGCACGTTAGGTCAGTCAAAGGGGCAGCCACTATGCTATAGTTCTTCACAAATTGTGATAGTAGCCAGTCATTCATAAGAAGGACCTCATCTCAGCCATAGACTGAGGATGCGGCCAGTCACGAATGCTGGCCACCTTCGCGTCATCGGGTTTCAAACCCTCCGCGGAGTCTCATGGCCCAAGTACAAGATCCGGGTGCGACCAAACTCGCATTTCTCCCCGTTGATCTTGAACTTGTGTTGCTGAAGGAGACTGAGGACTTTGTCTAAGTGCGCAACATGCTCCTCGACAGTCCTACTAATAACAAGTATGTCATTGAGATACACAATGACAAAATTATCTAAGTAGTCATGAAAGAACCGATTCATAGCGTGCTGAAAGTTGCCAGGAGCATTGCAAGGGCTGAAAGGCATCACCACAACTCGTACAGACCGTACTTGGTCTGAAAAGCAGTTTTGTGTTGATCCTCGGGGCGTATTGCAATCTGATGGTACCCGGACTTCAGATCTTACTGAAGCACCGGCACCCGTGCACTCTATCTAGCAAGTCATCGATGCGCGGTAGGGGCTCTCGGTTCTTGACAGTGATGGCATTGAGGCCCCTATAGTCAATGCACATCCTTAAGGTCCCTCCCTTCTTTGGTACAAACAAGACAAGAGATCCGTAAGGGGAGACACTTGGTCGGATCCAACCCTTCTCTACGAGTTCCATGAGTTGTCGACGGAGCTCATCAAGCTCGCCTGGAGACATCCGATAGATCCTACCCTTTGGAATACTAGATCCTGGGATAATCTCTACCGCATGGATGACCTCCCTCTCAACAACCCCTTTCGACTCTTCAAATAGATCAGGGTATTTAGCAAGTACTCCCTGTATCTCCGACGACATTTTCACCGGCTCGCCTGTTGCAGAGACATAAACTAGGTACATACCCTCCTCCGGATTTTGTTTACAATAATTGTAACCTGTTACATATTTTGCTCAACAAAGCATATACAAATAACAATCAAATTGCTATTTGCATATTTGACTTTTTTACAAATAGAAACTTACGTAATTGGGCGGTCCCCCCACCTGGCAAAATGTGCTTGACCACTTTTCGGTCCCATTCAAACTGGGGTTGTGCAACTGAAAGATAATACATACCCAATAGAATGTCCATTGGGAGATCATCGCTGACTAGGAACGAGACGCGATGTGTCAGTTCTTCTCCCGCGTACGGGAAAAGACACTCAATGTCATGAAGGTAGTCGTTGACTACCATGCGTTGTTTGTTGGCACAGGTCGACTCCACATGTCGACTCAGGCGTTGCACTTGTCCCTGTAAGTGCAGCCTCTCAACGCACGCGCGACTAATAAAGTTCCGTGTCGAGCAAGTGTCATAATAGGCCTCGGCCTTGCGGCCGCTGATGACTACCTCGCTGACGAACATCTCACCCTTAGGGGCTTTAGACAATGCTGTCCAAGAAGCTAGAGGGTCTAATCTAGACCACTCCTCCTCTAGCTCCTCTAAGGACTGGAATACATTCATCGAACAGAGGCTCAATGGGTCCGAATGTGTTTGCGGGACGACGATGGAGTCAATAGCTTGGGCCATCTCTCGAGATGGTGAGGGTGTACCCACCACCTCGACCCTAGTAGGAACAACTACTATCCTTACTGGCACGACGTGTTTCCCGGAGGACTGCCAAAACTGCTGGCCACGTTGCTACCTAAGGGAGCGGAGGATCCCAGCGCCTGCCCCATCGTAGGCGGGATCTTCTCGGTCACCTTCTTATTGCAGCACTTGAATTGGTTGTGGCTATATTGAGCACATCGAATACAGGCCTGCCGGGTGTACCGGTCTCTCCACACGTCCTCAGTGAGACCCGCTTTCTCTCATGGAGGAGCGTTGGGGTCAACTTGACTCCTAGACCGGGAACCTCCGCGGCGTCTACCGGTCGCCTTTCCTTTTTGAACTGAGGCAACGACTACCCCACCCCCTAAAGCCTCTACGCTGCCCGCCTCGGAACCCACTCCCGCCTTGAAGTCGTCCTCCAACTTGAAGGTAGAACCATCATTGTCGACAAACATAATGCGGCCCTTCGCCTTCCAGTTGGGAAGCAGTGACTTTTTCCCACCATCCGTCGTGGGTGTCTGTCCATGACCTATCTTTGCTTCTAGGTCTAGGGCCTTGTGCATATTGATGTTGCCCTGAGAGGCATAGGGAAACTTCTCAGGGTTGAGGTGAGTAAAACCTGGGGGTCATAGTGCACCGCAGGGACACAGATCAGACGCTCTACTGCGTTTGTGGCCTCTCTTACTGACTTGAACTGTTTATGATTCAGAGTTAGGATCGCATCAGTGGCTTTTTGAGCCTCCTGAGGATCATGCCACCTGTTTTCCACCAACTTAAGGAAGTCATCTTGTTTCTAATTGACCGCCCAGGCGCGGAAGTTGTGACCGTATCCCTGTACACTAAACCACTCAACCATCTTGCTGCACTCCCCTCTAAGTAGGAGGCAGCCACAAGCACTTCCTCGTGCGGCAAGGTAAGTTTACACTTAACATAGAGTGGCACTGACCTCAACCATGTGTCGAGGTCTTCTCCCCTCTTGTCCCCTGTAAAGGGTTAGGGGCGACGATGACCGTCTTTGGAACCCATTGACTTTGTCCCAGTACTTGCACCATTCCGGGTTGTGGACCCTGAGGTGCAGGCTGCTGCACTAGCTGCTACTGGGGCTGTGTACCCTGCGGCTGTGCAGGCTGCGAGACAGCAGGCTGCCCGCTTACGACAACCTGCGACGGAGGTTGGGAGAACATTGTCTGTACAGGAATCTGTACACTAGGACCTGCTGAGAACCCTCCTGTTAGCGACATACCTAGGGAAACGGCTTGGACCGATGTTGGGGAGACATATGGGGATACCCCAGTCACCGGTGGGACAAAAGGAGGAGGATGTACAACGGGCCAGACACTGGGCCCGGATGGCAATGGACCTGTCGACGCTTGCCCAACCAGACACACGTGGTTAACCAGGGGTGCTCCTCACATCTGCATCCATGTGCGTCAGGTCCATACCCTCTAACTCACTAACGTCTGCTTGTCTCCGCTGCATCCTTGCTCTCCTTCTAATCATTCTTTCTTTCTCCGCTTTTATCTCTCGTAGAGCCTTCTGTAGTTGCGCCTCTTGCAGTGTTGCCAGTTGTATGGCGATCTCATCGAGAGTCGACACTATGGCCTGGCTTGCCATAATGCCAGTGGACTGACTCAGGGTCTGCGCATTAACCCAACGGTCCTTGAACTGCTGGCCTGGGAACTCTGCTGCGCAGCAGTTGCCATGGCTGCTGAAGTTGCGGCTTCGCTTGCAAACGCCCTGCTGGCCTCTGTTGCCCTAGCTCTCCACTACTGTTGTTGTCTCTCCCTAAGCTGGCGGAACAGTAACCTATCACCCTTGAGTCCTAATGCCACGTGGGCAATCGGGCGTCTAGCCGGTCGCAAGATCCGGTCGTCCTCACTAGTGGTATCCCTGTCGCTCATAAGCTACAAAGTTGTACACAATCTGCACTAGGTCACTTTTGATGCCTAACGCAGTGAAGTGCATAGACCGATTTATAATAATAAAAATAATTAATCGGTGGCTGCATCAGAATACATACATTTCGCTCCAATAGGTAAGTTCAGATTCCTACAAACTAAACTACTTTGAATTTGACTAGTTCGCAAGCAGAAAGCACAATGAACAGAAAACAGTTCTAACTATGTTGTTTGTCATGGTTGTACATCTAACTAGTCAAAATAAAAATAGAATCATGTGTTGGGTCTGTTTGCAGAAGCGAATCTTGACCAAACTTATCACTTGGAATCTACCCCTGCCTCAGTTCTTCATGAATGTCTCTTGTCGGCAACGTCCCTTACCGATCCGGACAGCGTGCGTGTCTAAAGGTGTGCACATGGCCCACCCCTGTGCCCCGAGTCCCACTGAGTTGGCCAGCCCTGCACACTATTTATCCTCACATGCAGCGAGCCTTACACTGACCGATTGGCTGATCAGGAGGCGTTTTTATGGACGGCCCCTGAAGTCCTCAGGAATTGTTTAACGTCGCAAATAGGACGATGATCACAGCCAATGGAAGGTCCCCTGCCTCTATTTATTTATAGACGTCTCGTCTTTCCCATAGGGCTGGCCTGCCCCTCAGAACCCCTCTATAGCGCAGCGAGCAGACAAAGGACAAAGCAGCAAAGCATGCGTGCTCTACTCCCGGTGGGTTGGCATGGTGACCGTGACCCAGTGCTTCGTCCAGGGCCCTTCAGATAGCACCGCCCTCTCCTTCCAGATGCTCCACGTGAACACTGACGACTCTCAAGGTTGAGCGCACACGACTCTTCACATGAGAGGGCTCTCAAGACAGAACACACATCCTCACAGTGAGAAGTGTCGAAGAGGGTAGATAAGGTTAGGTGCAACGTGCCTCAAAATAGCTGCCCCCAACCACAAATATTCTCACCAGATGACCCGATGTTGATTGTGATGACCAATCGCTGCTTCGGCACAACCAGCATTGTACCGCCGTTCCCCCTCCGCATCAATCACACATCGGATAGTTTTCATCACACTGCGAACACCCAATAATCACCACATAGTAGCCTTCCTGGCGATCCCCTCACCTCCTGGGCCGCCTCGCTTGTCTGCACCCTCCTCACTACACACCTCCCACGGCCGCTCGCCCAACAGACCGAGTGCATGTACCGATTAGGCAGAAGACAAGCGCCAGATGAGCGCACCGTACCACAGCTCCGATACCAAATTGCAAGGAAAATGAGCGATAGCGAACTTCATAAATCAAACAGCATCATACACATGAGACCAGATAGTCGTGACCTTGAACCAATAGCAGAATTGCATCACGAGTTTCACCAAATAAGAGCACAGCANTCAAACAGCATCATACACATGAGACCAGATAGTCGTGACCTTGAACCAATAGCAGAATTGCATCACGAGTTTCACCAAATAAGAGCACAGCAAAAAGCCATAATTGACAATGATGGAATAGTCTCATCATCATCAACGAAGAACCAATGTCGATATCCTATCTGGCGCTCGGCGCCCAGACTACAGATGCCAGATCCTATCTAGCCTATCTACAATGCCGCTGATGACGTCAACAGCTCCCCGAAGTACGTGCAGATCTCGACCAATGCCCTTCGCCTCAAGCACCAGGTATGTCTCTCGTATCACTCACAACCTCAATCCTCAACTCATAGATTCCACTTGCACCCAAGAACCACCATGCGCCCCATCCAGCATACAGCAGCGCAGCTTGGCTATGGCTGCCTGCTCCTTCCAGCTCGCCCTTGACCACGAGAGCGCTGGCCAGCGTTAGCGCAGCAGCGCTCACGCAGCATGCAGCCAGTGCCCGAATCCCAAATGTGGAGGCAGGCCCTTTCCTAAATGGAAGTGGCCTGCCTGCTGCTGCGGCCAGGCTGCGCTGGGCCCTCGCCCGGAAGCTTACGGTAGGCCCCAAGTCCCTGAGCCCCAGTCCATACAGAACAGTCCCAGGTCCTGAGTTAGTTGCCCATACCCAACTGCTCACAGCCTGTGTTCGGTGTGTATACGTGTCTGGCCCAGGGTCGTACTTCAGATACATTTGCAAAATGGATGCCTGGGCCTGGGCGCTTGCAACCAACTGTCTGATTTTCCCCAGTTGCGAGATGGCCTGACAAAGGGGCCCTTAGGTCCTAGTCGAGCCTGCCTTCACTTAGGGCAGCCGACAACACTGTAAACAGGGCCAAAGGGGGCTCATCGGGCCTTGGGCCTCGCTTTGGCTTCCACCTTCGCTCCCTCCATTTCCATCGCACCACTGCCACCATAGGACCCACAGGATAGTCCGCCTAGTCTGGCGGAACATGTTCTCTTTGAAAACCCCATCACAGAAGGCAGGGCAGTGACCCATCAGCAGTGCTCTCCAGTCCTGTGGCCATAGCGAGCCGGACTGTCTGCTGCCATACTCTATCTGTTACATGCTGCACCTGCAACAGGCTGCAAGGGCCATTTTCAGGCCTGTGTCGTTTTCAGCCCGAAAGCCTGAAAACAAGGGCCTACAGGCCCTGTGTCATTTTGGCCTGAAAGCCTGAAAACAAGGGCCTACAGGCCCTGTGTCGTTTCAGCCTAAAACAGGGCCTTTCCGGCCCTGAGTCTTTTCAGCCTGAAACGGAGGGCCATTTTCAGGCCCTCATAAGATCGACCTGCCCTGAAACTCAGGCACCAGACCAGGTTTTAGCTCAGGCCATTTTTGGCCTATTTTCAAGACAACCTTTGTTTGAGCTTTAACCCCAGGGTCTGGCACGTTTTGGCATTGGCAAGAGCAGCCTCCTGGACGGGCCAGCACCATATAAGACTGGCCCGCCCTGCAGGCTGCAGGTAGTTCATAGGGACTTCCCAGGCACTTCACGTGCAGTTCAGGAGGCAGAAGGTAGTCTTCAGGATTCGGCAGCAGCACTCTGGAGGAGCGCTGCAGGAGTAGTAGTAGCGCTAGCAGTAGTCTTCAGCGCTGGGCGCTGGTAGCGTTAGCAATAGTCTTCAGCGCTGGCCGCTATTAGGAGCTAGAGTAGTACGAGAGAGAGAGAGAGATTGGGCGGAGGCCAGGGAGACTTGCCTGCACCGCCATAGCTCCAGCTTCGTCTTCGAGGTACCTGCAGCACAGCGCCATCTTCACAGGTTAGTACCTGGCACGTGAGACAAAGAGAGAGAGAGTTCTTCTTCTTCCTCTTCTCAGTCCACCATCTCCCTCTCACCCTCTCACTACCTGACTTCACTGCATCAGCAGACTAAGAGAGAGAGAGAGAGAGCTTGGTGACATTCGGATCCAGACTCGACATTGGGCTTCAGACATTTTGACGAGGGATTATTTGGGACTTGTAACGAAGACTTGGTGTTGACGACGTTCCCATCTCTCCCCTCCTCTTCTTCGTCTGATCCCCTCCTCTTCGTCTGTGCATGTCTGGACCTGGCGCCTTCTTCCTGTGTGTAGCGCCTAGACCCTTCACACCTTGTGATGAGAATGATGTATGTTTAGTCTGCATTGATTGGGCTCATCATTGGTATACTAGCATTCTGCTGCGCTATCTTGCACTACAGGAGAGATTTCACTAGTCATTGGTATCTTGCACTACAGTCCCGGTCAGGTCAGGACTTGTATCTAAGTCTTCCACTGCACTATAAAGCATCATTTTTGCATGTATCAGGATGTACACTGCGTGTTGAGATTTCACTAGCATTGCATTGTCCATTAAGTCCTTTTTTATCACATTGCGGCTCCTTGGTTATATATGTACATCGCCCAACTGGGCATGTAGCAGTTGGTATCGGAACACCGCATGTGAATCAGGACAACCTGATCTGACACGTGTGAGCGGACTAATTAGTTGATGAGTCTTGATTGATTGATTGATTGATTAGAGCACACTAGTTAGCCCCCAAAATCACGATTTTGACCTCACTGCCAAAAATCGATTTTTTTTTTCCCCTTTCCTTGGATTTTGTTTTCCCGCTATTTCTGTTGTGGAAAATCGCAATAGCGCAACACCTTTTTTTTCTCTCCTCCTCTTCTTCCTTTCTCCCCCTCTCCTTTTTTTTTTCTCTTCCTCTCCTTCCTCTCCCTTCTTTCTCTCCCCTTTCCCCCACTTTCTCCATCTCCTTTTTTTTTTCGCAGGGCCTTATGGTCCTAGCTCCTTCTATTCTGGGGAGCGAGAGTCCGGTTCCTATTCCACCGGCAATAGCGGTAGTCCGGGGAGTGAGAGTAGTGGTAGTCTGGGCTTGCGCAATAGCGCAACACCTGAAATTTCTGTTTTCGTTTTTTTTCTGAAAATTCAAAATTTCGTTGTTGGAAATCCGGAATATCTTTTTTTTTGAAAATTTCGATCTTTTGCAATTTCCCGTTATCTGGAAATCCGGAATATGTTTTTAATTTCCGAAATTCATTTTTTTTTAAACGGTACAGGAAATCCCTCTTCAAGTTATCATTTTCCAAACTGCGCATACTCTCATCTGAGTAATTCCGAATATTTTTAATGTACTTCATTTTCGGAATTCTTTTATCGGATAATCATTTGCGGTCTGAAAGTTCGAAATTTTTTCTCATTGGTAATTTCGCACTTCAGGGGAAATTGGGAGGCCTACTGAACTTGCAAACGAGTATTCTTTTTCTTTTTCTTGAATTTTTTTTCAAAGTTCAAATTTGTCTTTTTGATTAGTGGCTCCTTATCTGGGTGATTTATCCCACCCACCCCTCTAGTGGCTCCTTATCTGGGCGATTTATCCCACCCACCTTTGTTGTTGCCCCCTCTGGTCTTTTCTATCTGCCTTCGGGTACCCCCTGAGGCGGCATTGGTGAGTTGCCACGTCAGCAGGCCATGGCAGCAGTGCCACGTCAGCAACCAGTCACCACAGCAGCAGGTCACGTCAGAGCATGGTGCTCACCCGCTCAAAGACAAGCGGCATGGATCAGCAACCGGGAGAGACTACCGAGGCCTATGAGACCCGCATGCTGGACATGGTAGCAGAGTTAGCGACGGGCAGCTGCGGCAACATCCGCATGTAAGAAGGAAGATGAGGAAGCAGAGGAACAGTGTCGCCTCACTGAACAACAGCGACAGGAGGACGTGGAGGCAGCAAGGAAGGCCGCAGACAAACGTCGTCAACTACGTCGAGACAAAATCCTCGAATGCGAGGGGGACATTGAGGTGATCGCCGACAAATGGGAAGTGGTTGCTGATGAGGAGGGTGCCCCCCCTGTTGTGCGTGGGCTTGCAACCACAATTGAACATGTGAGCGACTTGGTCGCCACATGTGCAGCACAGCAAAAGGACATCCTTTGCGTGGACACCCTGGTCCAGAAGCAGGCTCGACTTATCGATGAACTGCTTGACCGGGTACGCCGGCTAGAACAGCAGCCTACAACAGCCAACCCCGTCGGACCCTCCAACTTGACGGACCGCGTCAACGTCTTGGAAATCGACGTCGAGACTCTCAAGGACGGCGCTCTAGCGACAAATCAGCGGATTGACCAGCAGATTTGTGCCGCCACAGCCAGCCCGACCACGACTACTCGCGAGAGCATCCCAAAGTTTGACGGCCTGCCGATCTTCTGCGATGCAGCAAGGACAGACCTGATTCCATGGTGGCGCCAGTTTGAGTTGAAGTTGGACATTCACCACGTCAGCAACCCGAACCGACACGCATACTTATACTCCCGCTCGGGGGGCGCGTGCCAGGCATGGCTGGACAACATGTTGTCCACGTACACCGTTGCAGTCTTCGAGCTGCATACGAAGATCAGTTGGGCTGATCTCAAGGCAGCATGGCATAAGCGTTTCCAAGTGGAGCCGCCCGAGCTTCAGGCAACCGAGAAACTTCAACGGTTCTATCAGAACGACCTGCGAAGCATGGACTGGATAACCGAGTACCAACGCTTGGCGTCCACGCCCAACTTGCCGTCGACCTTCGTCGCCATCAAACACTTCTTCATCAGGAGGAGTTGTCCAGCGTTGCAGAACGCCTTGACGGAAGTTGCGGAGACGCTCACCACAAGTGAGAAGCGTTTTGATAAAGCCTCGCAGATCATCGTGACGAACGCCGAAGCCAAGAATTTGGGTCGTTCGTCTGCTGCGAGCCAGGGCAGAGATCAACATCGATCGAAAGTGGCGACCCTTCAAACGAGGTTGCCTCTTCTGATGAAGGAGACAGATTGGCAGCCGCCTGGGATGGTGGCCGACCCGCCAGAGGGCGAGGACGCGGCAAACCGAAGACACACACCAATTCATCCCCTGGGGCCGGACCAGCGGCTCAAGAGCCTTGGACACATTACAGTATCTCGGAAGGCGTGTACCGCATCCATACTAAGTACCGATACTGCTTGTGCTGCAACAGCGCAGTGCACGACACCGCAACGTGCCGCACGCAAGTCAAAGGCAAATTCCCTTCGGGAAAGTGAGCACCGCCGAGAGTGATGCGGCTGCACTCTCAACGCATTCAGAACCGGTTACTTCGTGAGGGATCTCTCTTCATTCTGAGGCACATGCGAAAGTCGACAATCCTCTTTTATATTCTTATGAGGACTATGCTGCCCGACTCGTTCCCTCGTACCAAGGACAAGATGTGTGTGCGGCTTCTTCTCCGTCCGACAAAATGACAATGAATCGTCTTCAAGTGGTCCTTCAAGGGATTTGACGCACGAGTTCAACATAGAGGTCTTGGACCTATTGACGTCCGAGGATTTTGCATGGCTTCCTCTCGCTTCCACAGGCTGCTTGTCGGGATCGCAATGCACAACATTATGTGCCCATCTCCACACATACTTAGCCTTCTATTCACCACCACCTTCGTCGACGGATGACGAAGCTGCGGTGGGGGACATCCTTGCGTATGTTAGCAAGGTGGTCAGCCAGTTTCGCATGTAGCGGTACGATGATAACAACGCACCGCTCCTTTATGTCCGCATCCAAGTTGGGCAAGCGTCTTGCAACGCTTTGCTGGATACCGGCGACACTCGCAATTTCATCAGCCAGTCATTTATCCAAAGGGCCGGCCTTGGCGCACAAGTTCGAAGGAAGCCAAACCCGACGGCGATCAAGTTGGCGGACGGTCGGACACAACAACTCCTCGATCGCTACATTGAAGCTATGCTGGTTTATTTCGCACCTCATGCATGCGAACTGGTAACGTTTGACGTCTTGGACACGAACTTCGACATCATTCTGGGGATGCCTTGGCTTGCAAGTGCGGATCACACGGTTAACTTTCATCAGCGGACACTTACCATTCGCAACGCCTTCGGCGCCGAGGTACCGTGTACCATTCCTCTTTCACACCCCTCGATCCGGTGCCGAGTTGTAACGGCCAAGTCTTTTCGGGCCACTTGCGCTTACGAGCGGACCGACGAGATAGGCCTATGTTATCTACGAGCCGTCGCGACGACCGAATCTTCACCTACGGACTTGTCTTCGGACCCCCGAGTGGTGCGGCTGCTCGACGAGTTCACTGACATCTTCGAGTCTCCTACCGCTGTGCTGCCGGATCGGCCGATCTCCCACGAGATCATTCTTGAGGCCGGTGTCGTGCCGCCGAAATGATGCATCTATCGCATGAGCGAGGAAGAGATCACGGTTCTCTGCGCGCAACTTGATGGTCTGTTGGACAAGGGATGGATCCGCCCTAGTAGCTCACCATACGGTGCGCCAATTCTCTTCGTACGGAAGCAGAACAAGGATCTACGTTTGTGCATCGACTAACCGTCAAGAATGTGGGGCCTCTTCCTCGTATCGACGATCTTCTTGAGCGATTGGGCGGTGCAAAGTATTTTTCTAAGTTGGATTTCAAGTCGGGATATCATCAGATCTCGTTCCGACCAAACGATCGCTATAAATCCACGTTCAAGACGCGGTATGGGCATTTTGAGTGGGTGGTCATGCCTTTTGGCCTCACCAACGCCCCGGCGACCTTTCAAGCGGCAATGACTAACACGTTTCGTGCAATGTTGGACCGGTTCGTGCTGGTCTACTTAGACGACATTCTCGTCTATAGCCGGACATTGGAGGATCATCTTGAGCATCTTTGACGAGTCTTGGAGACGCTCCGCCACGCTAAGTTACAAAGCCAACGGAGATAAGTGCGAATTTGTCCGGCAAGAGCTGGAATACTTCGGCCATTTTGGCACACCAGAGGGCATCAGTCCGTTATCGGACAAGATTCAAGCCATCCAAGAGTGGTCGTAGCCGCGGAACGTCACGGATGTCCGTTCGTTCCATGGCCTAGCTGGCTACTACCAACGTTTCATCAAGGGATACTCGAAGATCGCGGCCCACTTGGCCAAGATTCAATGCGAGGATCGGCCGTTTGACTTCGGGGAGGATGCGCGGGAATCATTTTTGGCTCTCAAAGCCACGCTATTATCCGCGGAGGTCTTGCGCATATACAACCCGCTATTGCCTAGGCGCGTCACTATGGATGCGTCCGGCTATGGCATTGGTGTCGTCCTCGAACAACACGATGGCGTGGACGAGCACCCGGTCGAGTACTTCAGCAAGAAAGTGCCCGTCGTGCACTCCATTGATGATGCACGCAAGAAGGAGATCCTAGCCTTCGTCCACACGCTCAAGCGGTGGCGGCACTTCCTCCTTGGTCGAAGTCAATTCCGATGGGTAAAGGACAACAATCTGTTGGTCTTCTACAAGACCGAAGACGCCGTCAATAGCACCATCGCCCGTTGGATGGCTTTCATCGACCAATTCGACTTCTTTCCCGATCACATTCCGGGGAAGTCAAACGGTTTTGTGGATGCTCTTTCACAGCGTCCGGATCATTGTACAGCAGTCTACTCGACCTTCGAGATCGGCGACGACCTGCGGAACAGCTTCATCCGCTGCTATCAAGCCGACCCCGAGTTTCGCGACAAGTATGCTAATTGCTCCTCTCCTAATTTGGCGCCTTCTCACTACCGGATCCAAGAGGGGTACTTGCTTGTCCACACGCAGGGGAAGGACCTTCTTTGCATACTGAGTGACTCTCACTTGCGTACACGACTTCTTGGCGAGTTCCACGATGCTCCCGCCACCGGACACTTTGGAGTCGATCGCACGATTGGCGGACTTCGCGAGTGATTCTAGTGGCCCGGCCTTCTCGGCGACGTCACACGCTATTGTGAGTCATGCGAGGTTTGCCGACGCTACAAATCCCGCAACCTTCGTCCGTACGGCGAGTTGCGACCATTACCGGTCCCCTTGTGCCAAAGGGAAGCGGGCCATTCCCCAAGCACAAGACCGGTGTGGATGGGATTCTCACGGTGGTCGACCAACTCCCCAAGTTCGCCATGTTTTTGCCTTGCCGCTATCATGCCAAGGCATCGGAGTTGGTCGAGGTTCTTTACGCCGGTTGGATTCGAACCAAGGGTTACCCCAAGGAAATCGTCTGTTCGATTTTTGGTTGGCGCTCATCAAACAATGGGGCTCATCTCTCAAGCCAAGTTCGGCTCGCCACCCCCAAACCGATGGCCAAATGGAGAGGGCGCATCAGACTGCACATGTTCTCCTTCGCACTCTCATCCGTCCCGACCAAAAGGATTGGGTTGAGCGGCTTCCGGATGTCGAGTTGGCATACAACTCGTCCATCCACCCGGCTATCGGGATGTCGCCCTTCGAGTTCGAGCACGCCTCGCCGGTCACTTCTCCGTTGGACACAATCATTCCACGAACGGCCGAGAGCGAGGACCATCTTCTTTTCTTGCGTCGGATGCAAGAGCTACTTGTCAAGGCACGCGACCAGATGGCTAAGACGCAGCAACGCATTAGCCAACAGGCCAATCGCCAGCGTCTTCCTTGCCCTTTCCGCGCCGGCGATCTCGTTTGGGTTTCCGCCGCAGAGTTGAGCCTTGAACAAAATATCTCGCGCAAGCTTCTCCCGAAATGGATGGGGCCCTGGCCGATCGTGGCACCCGCTGGGGATGCACCCGAAGGACCTTCCTTCACCATTCAGGTGCACGCCCACTTGCCCGTCTACCCGGTCATTCAGGTGCTCGACATTGGGCTTCAGACATTTTGACGAGGGATTATTTGGGACTTGTAACGAAGACTCGGTGTTGACGACGTTCCCATTTCTCCCCTCCTCTTCTTCGTCTGATCCCCTCCTCTTCGTCTGTGCATGTCTGGACCTGGCGCCTTCTTCCTGTGTGTAGCGCCAGGCCCCTTCACACCTTGTGATGGGAATGACGTATGTTTAGTCTGCATTGCGACATTGATTGGGCTGGTCATTGGTATTCTTGAAACGGTAATCACCAGTTCGCAGTAGCGAATGCAGATCCCAGGGCTCGATCCCTGGTTCCCTATCTTACCTGTGTACAGTATTGATGTCAACCCGTAGACTTGAACCCGCGACCTGTAGGATCGCCAGTGGTAGGCAGGGTTTCGTAGGTCACAGCTTAGAAGGGAATCGAACTGTAGACCTGTAGGGTAGGAGTCTRGACAGTTCCAAAGTAGTAGCTGTAGGATGCCTGAAGAGTCAAGGTCGTAGCTGCTACTTACCTGAAAGGGCAAAGTCGTAGCTGCTACAGTACCGAAAGGCCAAGTTCGAGACTTCTAGAAGTGGCCTTTCGGAGTTGGCCTGTGTTCAGCAGAGGCAAGTGGTCAAGTGGTGGTAGTCCACCTAGCCCAGTCAGCAGTCCCAGTTAGTCAGTCCGGTCCTGTTCAGCAAGTACCGTCTGGGACTGTGTGCACATCATGGGCCAAGGGATACAGGGCAGACCAACGCAGCGCAGAAGTATAAATCAAGAGGCTGCGTCCAGCCATTCATTCATTCCTGCGGATGCCATGCGGAAGCGCTGCCTCAGCAGCTTGTGCGAGGASKTCTGCAGTGCGCCCGAAGAYGAAGYGGGCAGAGAAGTGTAGTGTAGCGATAGGGTAGTGGCAGCYAGTGCTGCCATAGCTATAGTGGTGTGTGTGTGTCGCGTGTGAGTACAGAGTGTCGCGTGTGGGACATCCAGGGTGATCCAGAGTGCGAACAGTGAGTTGTGTGGGCGCAGAGCCGCCATAGCCAGTTGAAGAGAACTCTTATCTGGTTACGATATCTTTGGGTACTGTGTGGGCGCATGTCGCCAGTTTGCTGTATTGCTGTTTGCATGATTGTCGAAGTGTGAAGTGGAGACTGATTGCATTCTAGCATTGTGCTGCGCTATCTTGCACTACGGGAGAGAGGTCAGTCCCGGTCAGGTCACGACTTGTATCTAAGTCTTCCACTGCGCTATAAAGCACCATTTTTGTATGTATCAGGATGTACACTGCTTGTTGAGATTTCACTAGCATTGTCCATTCAGTCCTTTTTATCACATTGCGGATCCTCGGTTACATATGTACATCACCCAACTGGGCATGTAACAGTCCACCAGCGCCATCTCAGCACCACGAAGGGGCACTCTAGGAAGATATGTTCTATGGTTTTAGATCTTTTCTGTGGCGAGGAGCTTTTAGACATCATTTGCACCACAGCACCCTCCCCTGCTGTTCCAGCCTTGTGTGGTCTATCAACCATAGTTGCGGTGCACGTGTGCGCTGCGCGGTGGGCGCCCGTGCGCAGTGCACAGGTTTAGCAGTGCGCACTGCGCCCTGTGCGCAGGAAAAAAAAAAAAAAAACATGCCCCCCCCCCCCACCCAGCCACCTGCAACCAGACCCCTCCCCCAGCCCCTGCGGAGTGTGTGTGTGTGTGTGTGTGTGCGTGTGAGAGAGAGGTGGTGGGCGCCCACCTTCATGACTGCCCGCCGGTCTCCTGCTGCCCGCTGCCGCTTCCAGCCGCTGCTTCGAGCCAATGGTGTCCTGCCGTGTTCCTCCCTCCCTCCTTCGTCGGCTTCCCGCTTCTCCCACCTTCGTCGCCTTCCCCCCGCTGCTCCCCACCTTCGTTGCTCACTTCTTGCTCGTCCCTCGTAGCGTCCCTCCCTCCTTCGTGGCGTCAAGATACGAAGGCGACAGGGCACTCAACTCCGGGAAAACGGTCGTCCCCTGCCTCCAAAAAGTTTTGTGGGGGAAAGGCCTGCCGAATTCGAACTTTCGAATTCAGCAGGCCCTTCCCTGCAAAAAAAATTCAGAGGCGGGCCGCGGCGGGTTTCCCGAGTTGCACGCCCCGGTCGTCATTTTTGCCGGGGTGGGGGCCGGTCGTCTTAACGAACCCCCCCCAAAAAGAAATAATTCCCACAACCCCTATTTTTTGTCGTGCGGGGCGCTACGGTGCGCTGTGCGGGGCGCTACGGCGTGCTGTGCGGTGCGTGGCGCTACGTGCGCAACTTGTGCGCAAACCGGCGCACCGTGGTGCGCCGCAACTATGCTATCAACCAATCATTAGTGGGGAGGCAACAATGAGCAATCTTCCATTGGAGCGAGAAGATCTTTGCGGGCTTCAGTTGCACTCCTTGAACCAAGAGATTGGTTGCAACAGGTTGGCACTGATGTTCAAGTGTTTCTGCCACCTATCCCGGATCACATCCCACTGATATTGAACCAAGGGACTGGACTCTTGTGTTGATGAGGAGAGAGTATGCTCTCCATGACATTGGTTTTCAGTACTACGAACCTCCATTGGTGTATTATTGGTGCAATGCTGCTCTCTGGACACGGTGTGACTATCTGGCTTTCAATGTGATGGTGTAATCTGGAATTGTCATCTCGCTGTTGCTTATTTTCCTTGCAATTTGGTATCGGAGCTGGTTCATATTGTGCTTCATTGGTTCTTCGCAATAGTTATTGGTGCTTCGCACAAGGTGTGGGGCAGTGATAAGGCATTGGCGTTGAACATTAGGTGGCCCAGTGTAGAGTGGGCGCGCTAGGGAGCTATGTGGTGACATACGGGGGTGTATGCTGGATGATGAGAGCTCGCTGATGTGGCATATTAAGCCGAGGTGGAACCACATTCTGCTGTTGGTTGTGCCGTATGCTGGATGATGAGAGCTCGCTGATGTGGCATATTAAGCCGAGGTGGAACCGCATTCTGCTGTTGATTGTGACGAGGCAAAGACCGGTCATCATAATTTCACGTCAGGGTGCCGGTGAGAAATCTGTGGTTGGGGGCAGCATTTATGAGCTACGTTGCTCTCTTCCTTATCTACCCTCTTCATTGCTTCTTACCGTGAGGAAGTGAGTCTTGTCTCGAGAGTCCTCTCGATGTGAGGTGTCGCGAGCGCTCAACCTTGAAAGTCAACATTCTTCCTGGGCAGCAAGCTGGTGGGAGACGGGCGTAGCCTCTGAAGGGCCCTGGACGAAGCACTCGGGTCACGGTGTCGTGCGCATCGGCCCTCGCACGAGCGAGGGTCCTCCCGGCCATCCCTGTTTTTAGCCCACTTAGGCCTTGAATCCCGGGGCTTAGCAGCCGGGCGACATTATTTTAAGTAGATTAGGCTTAACTTTAATATTCTCATGTCCGCATGTTCCTGCGGCTCCGAAAAAGCGAAAACATTGTCATTCACATTTGTTACTCCCGAACGCCACACTCGTCCGGACTAAAGTCTTGAAAAACTTTTAATCTCTCAGTCATAGGTCAGGTTTGAATAACTTTTGGCAACGTCAGTCTCATCAAGTCCTTCAATTTCAATGAAAAAGGTCAGACAACATCCGACATTGAAAAACCCCGGCAAATGCCCTTGTCATGGTTTTTGCCCCGACAACGGTCGCCATGCCAACCCGCTGGGACTAGTACACGCATGCTTGGCAGCAAGTCCTTGGTTCCGCTGCTTGCACAATAGAGGTCGTGCAGGGGATGCCAGCCCTTTGGGACAGACGCTTACCAGCCGGTCTTTAAATATTTCTGGTTGGGGACTCGGTGTTGACTTTGGCTGTGATCGTCGTCCTGTCTGCGACGTTAAATGATTCCTGAGGAGATGGGGGCTCTCCTTAAATCCCTCCTGATCAGCCAGATCAAACCGGGTGGAAGGCTCGTTGCATGCGAGGATAAATAAAGTGCAGGGGCTGGCAGGTTCGACATTGACTTGGGGCAGAGGGGTGGGCCGGATTGCACACTGTCAGACACGCTGCTCAACCAGGTGCTCATGACGTTCACACAAAGCGACCTATCAAGAAGGACCCAGGAGGAGGGGGGATTCCGGTAACAGTTCACAATGGTTATAATTAGACAATCAGCCATCCAGTGTACATCTCCAACAGGGGATGTTATTTCTGTTTTAATTATTTAGTTGTTACAGACTTGACTAACAACTGACAGACAGCTACACACAGACTAGGTCTTTGCTGCAATGCTATCTCTATTAGAGTAATCTAAAAATAAATTTAATATATCCTGTAGGACCTGGCATTAGTTGCAACTACATCACCTAACTGTTTCTGTTCAGGCCGACCGTAAGTAGTTGTGTATCATATGCGGTTGTGTGTCATGCTAAGGTAGGATTCAGTGTGGATTCTAGTTTAGATCACACACATTGTAGCTCATGAGTGAAGTCAGCAGTGAGGAGGAGGGAAGGCTAGTGCAACCTCTTAGGATCACACGGAGAACCGCTCTTAGTCAACCAATCACTTTCCAGGAGGTAGCTCTAGGGGAGGAAAGGAGACTACGAAGGGAAGCAAGGGAGAGGGTAGCAGCGAGGAGCATTAGGGACGCAGCAGCCAGCTTAGCGGCTGCGATGGCTACCGCCGCCTCTACGTCACAAACCTCTTTCCAGTCTTCTTCGTCAAGAGGAGGGCAGGGTGGATCGCGTGCAGTTAGTCGGTCTACTGGTTTGCAAGTCAGCCAGCAGAGTCCACTCACATCGGAGGATTTAGAAATCCGACAGGCGAAAGAACTTCAGGATGCGCTGCAGCGGCAGTTGGACGAAGCAGCAGAGAGGAGAAGAAGAGCCATACTCAGAAAGGCTAGACTAGGAAGTAGAGTGCAGGAGCTAGGCAGACTGGAAGGGCTAGATGAGGCAGCATTAGACCCTGCTGTCCGTGTGCTGCGTAGTGCTTTACTATCATTGGCAGAAGTGCAGAATGTCCAGCAGGAATTGCTGACCGAATTGGTGGCAGGCCAGAAGCAAATCCTGGCTGAACTTCGGGCTCCTTGTACAGTGGTGAGGCAGCCACAGTTTGTTGTAGCTCCCCCTGCGGGTGCGGGTCCTTCATCGATGCCGCAATCCACAGGGCCATCTTTCTCTCCTATGTTTGGCATGCCCCCTCCAAGTGTTTTAGTAGCAACTAGTGGTCCGGTTCATAGAGTCTCAGCCATACCATCTACGATAGTGGTAACTACAGTCCCACTGTCAAGCCAGGCCCGGGTTAGTGTGCAACAACCTGTTTCAGTGGCTATGCAGCCGCTGCAGCAAGCCCCTGGGCCCATGCAGCCTATGCAGTGGATGCCCAAGATTCCTCTGCTGAGTCCTAAACCTTTTTCTGGAGACAGGAAGAAGGATGAGGATTTGGACACCTGGGTAAGAATTGTGCCTACATATGTGAGGCATAAGCTTACAAGGCCAGAGCAAGAGGTTGTAGTTGCTGCGTCCTTTTTAAAAGGATCGACAACACGTTGGTTGAACGGGTTAGTGCAACAGCAGGGCTATGGTCAGAACTTTGCTGCATGGGCACAAGCGCAGATATTGGAACATTTCGTACAGACTGTGTACAGGAGGTGGCATGACCCTCAAGGGGCTCAGAAGGCCACCGACGCGATCAACAATCTGTGTGCCAAAAAGTACAAGAATGTTCGCGAAGTCACAGACGCTGTAGAATGTCATATCTTATTTGAGATGCCTTCCATCAGAAGTCAGAACGAAACTGGTGAACGAAGCCTACATAGACCAACACAGCTTTGCTACATTCAGCAGGAAGGCCCTAGATATAGAGGCTAAGTTGGGATCCGCGCATCAGGTGGATTATTTGAGATGTCTTCCATCAGAAGTCAGAACGAAACTGGTGAACGAAGCCTACATAGACCAACACAGCTTTGCTACATTCAGCAGGAAGGCCCTAGATATAGAGGCCAAGTTGGGATCCGCGCATCAGGTGTCTCATGATGGTAGGAAGAGACTCCCTCAGGACTAGAAGAAAAAGGGTCAGTTAATGTTCGTTGACCACGATGGTCAAACAACGGAGATTGACGATTTCCAGACCTTGGGGAGGTGACAGAGCAGGATGGGGCCAGGGAGACTTCGGATGGGAGAGTCGTGGCGCCTATCAAAGAAAAGGCTAGGGGGATCGCGAAGAAGAAGGTAGTACGATCCACGGGTCAGGGCGACCAAGGGACACACGCATGGGTGAAACTTGGTTTAGATTACGAGGTGTGGAGGGACCGAGTTGCCAGGGGCACATGCATGAACTGTGGAAACTATGGCCACATGTCACGGACATGCCGAAGCAAAAAGGTCACAACGAAGGTAGCATCACCAACAGTGGTGGGCTTATCTTCGAACTCTGGCCGTGCTTCTGCGAGCACTTCGCAGGGAAACTCCACGGGCCAGTAGGAGTGTTAGCCGCTCTTACTCGCGCTGAAGTCCTAACGTTGCCTTCCCCACTTCAGGTGCTGGCCAAGGCTAGTGACCCATACATCGCCCCGCAGACACATTCAGACCCACCGACACTCTGTTCGAGAGATGTGTTTGAGGCCCTAGAAGAGTTAGAAACTGAGTGGTCAGGGAAGGACCCCAGGGACTCTTGGGCGATGATCAGTAGAGGTCCAAAGGGTGAACATTTCGTGGTAGAAGTATATGTAGGTGGCCGCAAGGTTGGCTCCTTCGCAGACATAGGCTCTACACGAAACTTCATCAGCCGTGCTTGTGTGGATAGACTGCGCTTGGGGGACCAAGTGCAGCGGCTTAGCAGAACCGTAGCTTCTACGGTAGCCAACAAGCACCAAATGGTGGTAAAGGATTATGTCAAGGACATAGTCTGCACCTTCTCCTATGAAGGAGGGGAAGTGAGCCACAAGATCTCCTTCCTGGTTAGCGACGAACTGCCCTTTGATATGCTATTAGGCATGTATTACCTCGAGGTTTCTCAACCTCAGTTTGATTGGGATAGAAAGGTGTTGATACACAAGCTTCCAAACGGTAGGACCGTTAGACTGCAAAAGTATAAAGCTAGCAGTCTAGTGGAAAACTATGGTTGCATGTGTGCCCCCTCTTTTTATAACTACTATAAACAGAATCGCGAGGCGGGCATGTACTAAGTTTCTGTCTCTGAGAAAGGGGAGGCCGTTAAATCACCCCCAGAGATAGAATCAGTCGTCGCTCAATATTCAGACCTTTTTTAGGAGCCCACAGGCGTGGTAGAAAGGGAGGTTGTCCATGCAATAGAGGTTGTCCCAGGTAGTAAGGTGCCTAGAGGACGAATCTATAGGATGTCTCCTGCGGAGTTGGATGAGCTCCGCCACCAGCTTAAGGAGCTCACAAAGAAGGGATGGATACGGCCTAGTACCTCACCTTATGGCGCTCCAGTACTATTCGTACCTAAGAAGGGAGGTACCCTGAGGATGTGCATTGACTATAGGGGTCTCAATGCCATCACGATTAAAAACGCAAAACCCCTACCCCGCATCGACGACCTATTGGATAGAGTGCAGGGATGTCGGTACTTTACTAAGATAGATCTAAAGTCCGGATACCACCAAATTGCCATTAGATCGGAGGACCAACACAAAACCGCATTCCAGACCAGGTACGGTCTGTACGAGTTTGTGGTGATGCCCTTTGGCCTATGCAATGCACCTGGGACATTCCAGCAGGCAATGAATAGGATCTTTAGTAAGACTGCAGAGGAGCACGCTGAGCACCTGAATACAGTGTTGGGTCTCCTAAGACAGCACCAGTACAAGATTAACTTGGAGAAATGTGAGTTCGGTCGCACCAAGATCTTGTACCTGGGTTATGAAATTTCAGCAGATGGGTTGAGGCCAGAAGTTGCGAAGGTGGCCAGCATACATGACTGGCCCAGACCTCAGACTGTTACTGAGGTCAGATCGTTCTTGGGGATGACAGGCTATTATCGTCCTTTTGTGAAAAACTATAATACGGTAGCCTCCCCATTAACAGATCTAACTCGACTCGACACCCCTTGGGAGTGGACTGAAGAGTGTGAGGCAAGCTCTAAGAAATTGAAGTATGCTCTAACGCACTATGAAGTTCTCAAGCTTCCATATCCTGACAAACCGTTTGTTGTGACCACAGACGCCAGCCAATATGGCATAGGCGCGGTCCTTGCGCAACAGGAGGGGCCAAAGTTGAGACCGGTAGAGTACATGTGTAAAAAGATGCCTTCTCATAAGTTAGCTAAGTCCACATATGAGAGAGAGTTCTACGCCCTGTACAAAGCGCTAGTTCATTGGAGACACTACCTCCTAGGAAAATTCTTCTATGTGAGGTCTGACCATGAGACTTTGCGCTGGATTAAGATACAGCCTGTACTATCTGACGCACTCAAAAGATGGATTCAAGTGATAGACATGTATGACTATCAACTTGATCCTATCAAGGGTACGTATAACAAAGTGGCTGATGCACTATCATGAAGGGCAGACTATTTTGGCGCGCTAGTCACTGAGTTTGGCGTGTTTGACGAACTCACTCGATCACTGGTGGAAGCCTATCAGGGAGATCCAGTTATGTCAGAGATCTCCATAGATTCCAAGCAAAGGACAAAAAGACTTTGGACGAATTTACGATGGTAGATGGCTTGCTGTTTCTCGAGAAGGCAGGGAATAAAAGACTATGTGTCGCTAATAGTGAGTCTTTGCGTAGTCTATTTTTAGGAGAATGTCATGATGCAACTGGTCATTTTGGCTATAGGAAGACATCAGCGAACTTAGCCCAGAGATTCTATGATGGAAGATGCGAAACGCTATGTTGAAACATGCCAAGTTTGTCAAAGGGACAAACCTAGGACTCAGGCACCGCTTGGGCTCATCAAGCCCTTGCCGATTCCTGAAGGTCCTGGTCAGAGTGTGTCCATGGACTTCATGGATACTCTTGTGATCAGTAAGTCCGGCAAAAGGCACATCTTCGTAGTAGTGGACCGCTTTACTAAGTATGCAAGACTAATCGCTATGCCAGAAACTGCTAGAACTGACTTTGTCATCAAACTATTCATGGACAATGGGGTAAGGGACTTCGGTCTATCTACGTCTATCGTTAGTGATAGGGATGTAAGGTTCACGAGTGAACTGTGGCAGTCTACTGCTGAACAAATGGGCACAAAGCTCCAAATGACGTCAGGGAATGTAAAATGGCCAGACAGAGCAGATGAACCGGGTAGTGCAGCACCTGCTTCGACATTATATTAAGTCAAGTCAGGATGACTGGGACGAGAAGTTACCTCTCGTCACCAGCCTGTACAACAATGTTGTACACAGTACCACCGGTATGACTCCCAACCAGCTACATCTTGGTTGGAAGCCCAAATCTGCGCTTGACTTTCTGCTACCAGAAAGAAAACCCACGACAACACCTGGCAGCATAGAGTTTGCTGTCCAGTATGAACAGATGCTGCAGCAGGCCGTTGAACATATTAGGAAATCTCAGGAAGCAATGATTGCATCTGAGAATAAACATAGACGACCTTCTAACTTTCAGGTAGGCGAGAGAGTCTGGGTTAAGTCCGTTGAGCTTGGTCAAGAGTTAGGCATATCCCGCAAGCTAATGCCACAGTACTTTGGGCCCTGGGAGATCTTAGATATTGTAGGAGATCAACCAGATGGTCCTTCATATGTAATCCGCATCCCACCTCACTTGCGTACTTACCCTGTGTTCCATGCCTCCATGTTAGCACCTTTTGCTGCCACTGAGCAATTTCCCTCCAGAAGATCAATGCTGCCCCCAACCATGGACGACGAAGTGGACATGGACCAGATCATTGAGCAACGAGTGATGCCTGTTCCTCGACCATCAGGCAGAGGGCGCCCTCCTAAGCCGTGAATGCAGTGTTGTGTGAGCTTCAGACATCATCTAGATCCTAAGGAGGATCGCTGGTTCACACGAGAAGAACTCGTGAGAACAGCACCTCAAGTGATTGCAGGCTACGAAAGAGCACTCAAAGGAAAGATGCCTGCAGAATAAGAGACTTCTCAGAGGACTCACAAAGTAAA